TCTATACTGTTTCAAGTGCTTACATAAGACAGCCCTGAAGGTAAAAATAAGATATATTCTCACTAGCCATAGAGTTGTCACCATCATAAATACAGAGAATCCCAAAGGACTGTAATGAAGATTTGCTGAGTGAAAAATATTATCCAGCTGAGATGAAAAGTTTATCTCCTTTCTAATGTGAAGGTCACATTCTGCCCGCTTCTACTACACACTTATTAACATTTTCTTCTAACCATTAGGGAATTATAACACTGGACTTTGTTTATGTGCCTATTTCAAATATAAAAGCCATCTTTATAAGAAATAAAGAAACCATGAAGAATTTTGATGTTGTATTCACAGTTGTGTAGGTGTTCGGAAACATGCTTTAGTGTCAGAAAGTTACTTAAATTAGGAAAATTGCACTAAGAAATATGGTAACCAGAAAATACATTAAATATTGTGCATTCTTTAGTATGGGAAGAAAAGAAAATCTTACGTAATTTGAAAAAATAAGAAGAAAATGCAAATTTGAGTCAGATAACTTTTAAAAAATCAGATTGAAAAATGGCATTAAAAACTCCCAGTCTGCTTTGATACTTTATAGTTTTGGTTAAATTCTGGGAGCACATTGCAGGCTAATAGCGCAATTCTTGAAAGATTTACTCAGAAGTAAAACCCAATGATTTGAGTAGAATTTAGTCCCAGGAAAGTGGAGATGGGATTGCAAATTAATTTAATTAGATTGTCCCTAATCTAAAATAGTTGCCAGGGAAGGAAAGAGTTTTGTTATTGAAAATAAGAATTCTCGCAACCAGGCATGTAGCCGGGGGGGGGGGGGGACTCGGGGGGCTTCAGCCCCCCCCCCAAATTCTCATGGTGGTCCGCGAGAAGGCCTTACTGGTATATTATTTAAACTGTTATGTTTATTCATATCATGATCTGATCACGATGCTCAATATATCCCATATGCATGGGGGTATTGGGGTAACGATACAACAGGTTTGCTAGGGTAGACCCTCTTTCACTCAGACTCAGCCCCCCCCCCGAATCAAACTCAGCTCCCCCCGAAACAAAATCCTGGCTGTGGGCCTGCTCACAACTATTTAAAATTTTGTCTTTTTAATACTACAGAAGACTTACTGGTTCCTAGCTAGACAATTATTAGAAATGTGGAAAAGTGTGATAGATGTATGTACAAAAAACTGAGACTAATTTTTGATGCTACAGTAGGATCGAATTCTCTAAAAATATTTGGCTAATATTATCTTGAAGCTGGAATACCTTTTTTCCCTAATCAAACCCTTTATTTAAGCATTACACAGCTCAAAAATGGGTTTTCTTGGTGTCTTGGTTTTTAGGCCTGTTCCTGGGGTTATTTGATGCACTACTTCAGAAAATTGGATTTAATAGACTTTGTCAGCTGTTTTCTTAAATGTGGTTATTATGGTTTTTATGGATGAGCTGATAAAGACTGGTTAATGCCAAATGCTCTGTATCTCAAAAGCGAGAGAGGTGGTAATTGGAGTGTGGAGGGATGGGTGTGTTGTTTTTGTGGAGTGTGCTGGGGAAAACCTTTAATTTCATCGTACAATGTACAATGACAATAAAGTTATTCTATTCTACATCATGGAAAACTGGTGCCATTTTATGATTCAGAAAGAAGTCTAATATTTGAGGCACTGAAATGTGTGTTGGCCAGTGTTATCAATGTGTCTTAGCCACTGTTATCAATTTCATAAACATATCTTTCCCTTCATTTGTTCTGCTCATGTGTAGACTAACATTTTCAACAGGAGAAGCTCTACTGTGCATGTAGAGTCTCATTTAAGTTTCTAATATGCATGCAAGAGCTTTCCATGCATAGAGAAAGCAATCCTCTTCAATAATTTTCTGTTCATATAAGGAAAGTGTTTGATATGTGGAAGGAAGAGGCATAGCTGGTAATACTTCTATCACTTTCCCCATGTAGAATGGCGCTCTGAATGTATGTTATTTGATCTATGGGTGCTTTCATTCAGTCTTCTGAGCCATGTGGAGATTTTCTACCCATATAGAAGAGCCTTTTCCTCTTAATATCACTTTTCAGATGAAGAGAGAAAAGGAAGAATGTGGGCAGCATTCTAGCTGTCCTTTCAGATTTACTTGAGCTACATTAACAATAGCTGAATAGGGTTAATGTGTCATTTTGAAATGATAAATGAGAAGTTCAATCAGACCTCAATTGGAGAAGAGTCTGACAAAAGTGGAAAAACTGTGAATATAAAGAATAAATGCAATGTTTTAAAGGAAAACTGAAAAAAAAATGTCTCTAGGCATTTTTAGACTTGTCTACATAGGGACCACCAAACGCAGCGCCCAAACACGAATCAAGGAACATGAAAGGCACTGCAGACTACTTCAACCAGAGAAGTCAGCTATAGCAGAGCACCTGATGAACCAATCTGGACATAGCATATTATTTGAGAACACAGAAATGCTGGACCACTCTCACAACCACCATGTCAGACTACACAGAGGAGCCATTGAAATCCACAAGCATGTGAACAATTTCAACAGAAAGGAGGAAACCATGAAAATGAACAAAATTTGGCTACCAGTATTAAAAAAACTCTAAAATTACAACAGCACAACAACAGAAAGGAAACAAACAAGGACATCTAATCACCTCTCAACAAAAGTTTGCTCCAGGCACTGTCAGGCCATCATATGCTAATCAAGGTGGTCAGTTGAAACATGCACACCTAGCTCCAGCAGACAAGAGTCCTTTGTCCCACCCTGGTCATTCCACAGATATATAAACCCTTTTTCCTAGTTCCAACAGAACTGTATTTATATGTGTGTGATTTCATTGAGACTACTTGGAGAAGTTTAAGCCACATAAATCGCTGGCTTTCATCCAAAGCCCCAGGGAAATTTAATGTATTGTTTAAATCCTATGAATGTACTTTTCCTTCCGTTTCCAAAGGCCACATTTGTCAGAAGGAATAGCTGTACATCATGTTGTACAAAATTCCACCTATCACACAGTTTGGTTATTCCAACACAACCTGAGGCATACTGCCTAGGGCAACCAAAATGCTAAGATTTTGTCTTTTTAAGGTAATATCACCTGTTATGTTCAGTGTCCAAAGAAATGTCTGGTATTTTATATATTCATAACGATGGGTTGCTTAGCAGTTTGGGAGAATCGACACTAATAAAAATATGAACTATAGCGCAATATCTACCAGGGATAAAGAAAGGAAGGATCGTTGTTAGGTGACATCTTTCCCACTACAGGAATCTTTATGGCAATACTTCTACAGTGCATGGAAGCTATAGAATTTCTTTCTTTTAAAATTGCTAGAAGGAAAACATTATGACTATTTAGGAAGTCTTCCTTTTAGTTTTTTGGAAGATGCTGGTAAAAAGTACACAATGAAGCCAGGGTCCAATGGTGACATTTTGGTAACATGTATACAAGTCGTACTGGAAGCCTGGTTCTACATAATACACATGGAGCATTCAATATAACTTTAAGTGATCTTCTTGGTCATTTTCTTCCAATACATGAACATGCACTGGGATTCTCTTGCAGGTAGATGGAATGAAGGTTGAGCCAGTAACTGATGTAGGTCAGTGTGGTCTGGTGCAAACAGAATGTGATGATTTAAACGAAAAATCCAACTTTTTCCACAACTAGTTGTACATTATAGTTAAATTCCAAGCTAAAAATAAATCTTAAAAAGTGTCAGATGCTACATATTTCAAGGCAGGTCTTCACTTGGAGACATCCTAGAACAAAGATGAAAACATAAAAATTCACTGTATTGTCGAAGGCTTTCATGGCCGGAATCACTCAGTTCTTGTGGGTTTTTTCGGGCTATATGGCCATGTTCTAGAGGCATTCTCTCCTGACGTTTCGCCTGCATCTATGGCAAGCTTTCCTCAGAGGTCTGCTGAAGCTGGGAAAAAGGGGTTTATATATCTGTGGAATGACCAGGGTGGGACAAAGGACTCTTTGCTGGAGCTAGGTGTGAATGTTTCAACTGACCACCTTGATTAGCATATAATGGTCTGACAGTGCCTGGAGCAAAACTTTGTTGAGAGGTGATTAGATTTCCTCTCTGTTGTTGTGCTGTTGTAATTTTAGAATTTTTTAAATACTGGTAGCCAGATTTTGTTCATTTTCATGGTTTCCTCCTTTCTGTTGAAATTGTCCACATGCTTGTGGATTTCAATGGCTTCTCTGTGTAGTCTGACATGGTGGTTGTGAGAGTGGTCCAGCATTTCTGTGTTCTCAAATAAAATGCTGTGTCCAGGTTGGTTCATCAGGTGCTCTGCTATGGCTGATTTCTCTGGTTGAAGTAGTCTGCAGTGCCTTTCATGTTCCTGGATTCTTGTTTGGGTGCTGCGTTTGGTGGTCCCTATGTAGACTTGTCCACAGCTGCATGGTATACGGTAGACTCCTGCAGAGGTGAGAGGATCCCTCTTGTCCTTTGCTGAACGTAGCATTTGTTGGATTTTCTTGGTGGGTCTGTAGATTGTTTGTATGTTGTGTTTCCTCATCAGCTTCCCTATGCGGTCAGTGGTTCCCTTGATGTATGGCAGGAACACTTTTCCTCTGGGTGGATCTTCATCTTTACTCCCGTGGCTTGTTCTTGGTCTTGCAGCTCTTCTGATGTCTGAGGTGGAGTATCCATTGGCCTGGAGAGCCCAGTTGAGGTGGTTCAGTTCATCTTGGAGGAGGTGGGGTTCGCAGATTCTTTTTGCACGGTCTGCCAAGGCTTTAATGGTGCTTCTTTTTTGACTTGGGTGATGGTTGGAGTTTTTATGTAGATATCTATCTGTGTGTGTGGGTTTTTTGTAGACGGTGTGACCCAATTGTTGATCTGGTTTGCGGATGACTAGGACATCTAGAAAAGGCAGTCTTCCTTCCTTTTCTTTTTCCATAGTGAACTGGATGTTAGGGTGGATGCTGTTAAGATGTTCCAGGAACCTGTTGAGTTCTTCATCTCCATGGCTCCAAATGGTGAAAGTGTCTCTTAAGAGAGAGAATCCACACCATCCGCAAAGAACTCGCAAACACAGACAAGGAACTGCTGCATCTCCATATCAATATCAGCCAGAAGATGAATTCCCAGGACTGGGACAAAATAGACAATCTCACTTACAGGAAAATGGAGAAAAACATGGCTGTCCACACCAACAGACAAAAACAAAAATTCCACAAACGACAAAAGCAACAGCCGAAACCAGAACTGGATACATCACGGACCATCATCAACCTGACAGACAGACAACTCTCTGAAGACCAAGTATCCATACTAGCGAAAGGAGGAAATTTTGCTGTAACCGCCACCAGGATCCCAGTAGAAAACATCATTGGCAATGTCGAATCAGCAATTTATCGCCTCCCCGAGGAAGAAGCAGAAGAAGTAAGAGGGGAAGCAGCAAGGATCCTGAAAAAGGCAAAACTTCCCTCCAGTAACATTACAAGGAAGGAAAGACAAGCCATCAGAGACCTCAACTCAGACCCTGACATCATCATTCTCCCAGCAGACAAGGGGAATGCCACAGTAATCATGGATACAGAACAATACAAGGAGAAGATCAGAAAACTCCTGGACCCTACTATATACAGAAAACTTAAGCAAGACCCAACTTCCAAAATAACCAGGAAAACCAACACTCTAATTAAAAACTCCTCAATCAACTTCGACATACGACAGCAGCTATGTAAATCGGAAGCCCTTCCACCCAGGCTTTATGGACTCCCCAAAATCCATAAGGACTCCACCCCACTCAGACCAATCGTGAGTGCCATTGGGTCCCCCACATATGACTTAGCCAAATTTCTTGCTGCACAGTTACAAAGCCACATTGGGCTCACAACACACTACATCAAGGACTCAGCCCACTTCATTGAAAAAATCAGCAATCTCAAGCTAAATACCAACGACAAACTGATCAGCTTCGATGTGGTGTCTCTATTTACCATGGTCCCAGTTGCAGACACCATGGCACTCATCAACCAGAGGTTCCCAGAAGACATCACGGCGCTGTTTCACCATTGCCTCACCACCAGCTATTTTCAGTGGGACAATGAATTCTACGAACAGAAAGATGGAGTAGCTATGGGGAGCTCTCTCAGCCCAGTCATAGCTAACTTCTACATGGAACAATTTGAAAAACAAGCTCTTGAAACAGCAACCAAAAAGCCCACTATATGGTTCAGATATGTGGATGACACTTTCACCATTTGGAGCCATGGAGATGAAGAACTCAACAGGTTCCTGGAACATCTTAACAGCATCCACCCTAACATCCAGTTCACTATGGAAAAAGAAAAGGAAGGAAGACTGCCTTTTCTAGATGTCCTAGTCATCCGCAAACCAGATCAACAATTGGGTCACACCGTTTACAGAAAACCCACACACACAGATAGATATCTACATAAAAACTCCAACCATCACCCAAGTCAAAAAAGAAGCACCATTAAAGCCTTGGCAGACCGTGCAAAAAGAATCTGTGAACCCCACCTCCTCCAAGATGAACTGAACCACCTAAACTGGGCTCTACAGGCCAATGGATACTCCACCTCAGACATCAGAAGAGCTGCAAGACCAAGAACAAGCCACGAGAGTAAAGATGAAGATCCACCCCAAGGAAAAGTGTTCCTGCCATACATCAAGGGAACCACTGACCGCATAGGGAAGCTGATGAGGAAACACAACATACAAACAATCTACAAACCCACCAAGAAAATCCAACAAATGCTACGTTCAGCAAAGGACAAGAGGGATCCTCTCACCTCTGCAGGAGTCTACCGTATACCATGCAGCTGTGGACAAGTCTACATAGGGACCACCAAACGCAGCATTGCCCAGACACGCATCAAGGAACATGAAAGGCACTGCAGACTACTTCAACCAGAGAAGTCAGCCATAGCAGAGCACCTGAGGAACCAACCTGGACACAACATATGATTTGAGAACACAGAAATGCTGGACCACTCTCACAACTACCATGTCCAACTACACAGAGAAGCCATTGAAATCCACAAGCATGTGGACAATTTCAACAGAAAGGAAGAAACCATGAAAATGAACAAAATCTGGCTACCAGTATTAAAAAATTCTAAAATTAAAACAGCAGAGAGAAAAACAGGCAGGGACATCTAATCACCTTTCAAGAAGAGTTTGCTCCAGGCACTGTCAGCCCATTGTATGCTAATCAAGGTGGTCAGTTGAAAAGATTCACACCTAGCCCAACTTACAAAGCCTTTTGTCTCACCCTGGTCATTCCACAGATATATAAACCCCTTTTTCCCAGCTCCAGCAGACCTCTGAGGAAGCTTGCCATAGATGCAGGCGAAACGTCAGGAGAAATGCCTCTAGAACATGGCCATATAGCCCGAAAAAAACCCACAAGAACTGAATAAAAATTCACATTTGTGAATGTCCTTCACTAAGGTTTACTGTTGGGTGACTAGCCATTATAGTGTATCTAGAATAATTGAATCGTAGAGTTGGAAGGGATCACAAGAGTCATCCAATTCCATCCACTATCATGCAGCAACACAAAAGACACTCTGCTATATTATGAAGTAGTGCCTTGTATGCCTTACACTTGATCTTAGCCAAAAGGCCAAGAAGTGATATGTATGTATGCATTACCTTTGAAAATGCCCAGGTACCTCAGCTAGTGCAGAATATGACTACAAGACTGTTATTTAGTGTAGCCAGGTGACAAAACATTAAACTGATACCAAAGAAGCAGCCTTAGCTGTACATTGGATTCTGAGCCCAGTTCAAGATGCTGGAACTTGAATCCCCAAAACCCGAGGAAGCATTTCAAGCTATGACAGTCTGTCCAGGTCTTCTGAGCTGGGGACTTCTCAAAATGCCCTTAATGTCCTCTCATGCATCTTGATAAGCTCATAAGTCAAATTTGCCTTTGTGTTAGGTAGCCAGAATATAAATATACAACAAGGCTTGTACAACCCTATTAAAAATTATGTAGGACATCATCTGAGGTGGAACCCACATTTGCCTGTCTTTCACAACCCATTCCCCTGCTAACCAGGCTATAGAAATTACTGACATTCCACGAGAGCCAGTGCCCAGCTGCCACACTGTGCCATGGCACAGAGTTATATCTCTCTGTCTTCCATCACTGCTGCTCCATCTACTCCATTGTCTTGCATGCAAACAGCAGGACTTGGCAAAGGCCTTTCCATGAAACCAGTAGAAAGAGGCCAGGTTCCTCATCTTGTAGCCATACCACCTACATTTGCTGGGAGACATTTAAAAGGGGAAGTAAAATTAATATCATTTCCTAAAACCAAATGATTGTATACAAAAATTTTGTTTTAATATTTTTGTGATACATCACTGTTTGTTTTATTTCTTAAAGGATTTGTTTTTAAAGAAAAGCTTAACATGGAACCTTTTATTATCACAGATCCTTTTTCAAGGGACATATAGCTTTGAAGTCAGGCCATGAAACAGAAAATTGTCCATTCAAGCTAAGTCAATATATTCTGAATAGTTAAGCAATGATGTTCTAAAGCACACATATGGGAGGTGATTCTTTCTATTAAATTATTATGGTGATTTCCCACACAATGTGAATGAGATATGGGACCAAATGACTTACTCATACCCTAGTTGCATACCACGGCCATGGCCCAATAGTTGACTATGGAGGAAATGTTCTTTGCCATTTGTGTGACTGGACATTATGTGAAAGAACTTTAAAAATGGAATAATGGAAATAGTAGAAATGTGAAGAAGAACTTTGGTCCATTTAGAGTTTCTATTTTCTTGGAGGAATTCTACAGTATGCATCAGTCCACACAGAAAAAAAATTCTGAGCCTTTTACTAAGGATTTGCCCTGGAATAAACCCAGAGATACATACTCAAAAATAAGCTACTTGACAGGACAGGTGCCTGTAATTGATTAGCAAAGTGCTAAAAAAAATAACAACACTAACCCCAGTGTGATATCTGATGCAGAATTTCCTCACTCTGTCTCTGTTGGTGAAATCCAACTGACAAGAGTATTTCCTGGCTCAATGAATCTATCATTAGTTAAAATAATGCAAGGGCTTAAGTGATATTGAGTGCATAAAAGCACCCTGACAACCAAATCCACCATAAAAGAATGATTTAATACATTAACAACTGTAGGAAGAGAAGCTTAAGAGAATTTAAAATGACACTGTTTCTTAATTTTAAAATCCCTCCTTTTTTTGGTCATAAATACAACCCATAACACCTGTGTTTGGAATATTTCATTTGTGAGGTAACTTTTTCCATGAATAGTTTCAACAATGCATGGCAATCCTTTGAATCCTTACTGATGGGCCAATAAAAAAAGTCAAAGCATATTTATAAATACTGGATATAGAGATTGTATTTCATATTGTAAAACAACAATTATTTTTTTCATATTAAATACTATCTTTCAATCATCAGAATCCAGATAATGGCCCCTGAAGAGCTCACTACAACAGGCTTACTTTGCATTTTGCATTTTCCTTAAAATGTGCTTGAATATACTTTTTTAGGTAGTGGATACTAAGTGCCCTTCCAGACAGGCCTTATAGACACTCTGAGTCCCCTTCGGAGTCAGAAGGGCGGCATATAAATGTCATAAATAAATAAATAAATTTATCCCAGGATCTTATCCCAAGTTTTCCACTTTAACCTGAATAATATGAGTCTCCATTGTCAGATAATCTGTGACAAACAGAAAACCTGTGATCAGGCCTGTCTAGAAGGGTCCTTCATGCCCTTTCTCAAAGCAGCATAACTAAATGTTAGAAAAATTTCTCATTGTTTGCATTTCACCTTTATCAGGAATTATCTTTATCTCAAAAAATCTGCTTTTATAGTACTTGTTAATGAAAAAAAAACATGATTTAGGGCCCTTCCACATTAACCCTATATCCCAGGATCTGATCCCAAAATATCTATTTTTCCCAGTTAGGACTCATATGTTGCAGTTTGAAGCAGATAATCTGGGATAAAGGGCAGTGTGGAAGGGCCCTTAGCCATAGCAATTAATATTAGCCAGTGAGTGAGTCCTTGAAATATATGTGTGTTTGTGTGAAGTAAAAATAGGTAACTTCAGCATTTCTGGAGACCAACATCTCCCCTTTGGGTATCCATGTGTTCCACAGATTACACATGGAATAAAGAAACCCAAAATAGATAGAAATCAACTTCTGAATGTGAAAAAAAAACATTTATAGTTCTTTTAGCAATTGGAAAATTTTTTAAGCATTCTTAAATTTAAGATTTTTCAAGAAGCAACTCATTCCTAGCAAAGGTAACGAAAAGAGAGCAAATGTGGTGTGATGGTTAGTATTAGTCTAGTGCTCTGGGAGACCAGCTTCAAATCCATTCTTGGTTAAGGAAACCCACCGAGTAACTTTAAGGAAGTCCCATCCTCACCCTCAAAAGAATGCAGTGATAAACCCCTTTTGAGCAGATTTTTCCAGCAAAGGTTGCGATTTAGCATCCTTTTCTGAGAAATAAGAAAAGTTACATTTCTTTTAAAATGTAACTAGAAATTGTAATGCAACTTTTTAGGGTTTGCCGCTCTTATACTCTCCTCACTACCTGCAATGGGCAAGAAAGAAATATCTGCTTAGTCCAGGCCTCCACAGCCTGTGGCTCTCCAGGTGTTTTGGGCTTTAGCTCTCAGAATTCCTGTTGGGCTTCTGGGAACTGAGGTCCAAAACATCTGAAGGGCCACAAGTTCTACAGGCTGGCTTAGTTCCTTGTCTCCTCCAGGCTGAACAATAGGACATTCATCCCTGTTGAAGCTCTCCCATGAATAACATATATCTCTCTTCTAAAAGATGAACAGCATCAGTCCTGTGGTTATCTACCTATCAAAAAAACCATATTGTTAGATATGGAAGAAAGTGATCCAATGTTCAAGAGTTCACAGTGGTGCTAGGTAGCCAAATGTGGACAAAATCATGCTGTATTTTTATGTATGGGCTCTCAGTATAGTTGGAGCTCAATTCTATTTGGCTGGAATATCACCTCAGAATGGTTTGGAATCTTGGCACCTGGTTCCTTGTCATAATAGAGCTAAGCTAAGGAATTTATCACACCCCCTCGTCGCTGCCATTTTTCCAGCAAGCAAGTCTGAGGAAGTACATGGAGGAAGTATCACCCAACCTGGACAGAAGTGTCACCCAACATGGGAGCCTTACCATGTTGATGAGGAAAAATTTTAGATTCTTCGATACTGGTTGTGGTGGGGCCTCCACTGGAGATTGAGGGACTTTTTGTGATGGGCTGTGTGCTCATCCATTCCTCATCTGGCTGGCAAGAATCCTAGGATGCCTGAATTGGTAAAAGTGATGGGGTCTTAAGAGATATGAGCTAAGCTGTCATATGCGTCAATACAAAGAAACTGCTTGCAGAAATAAATCAGGAAGCTGCCAGAGAAAGAGAAGGCAAACCTGTTGAATTGGTCCTGCTAGATAGCGAACCAGCTAGTTATGCCATCCCTGTTACAGTCCAAGGCATTCCAATCAGGGCATGACATGACATTCCAGCAGGAAGCTTGTTTGAAGGACCAACAATTTGAGAACTTGCAGGAATGAACACTAATCTTCTCCATTGTCTACAAGTGTTCTTTACACTTCACATTCCCTTTTTCTTCACAAGCACAGGTTTAGGAACTTTTCAAGATAACAGCAATTTCTACTCATAGTGAGAAGCACCAAGAAGCCTTTTAGTAGACTTTCTTCAGATTCCAGTGCCATGACAACCAGCCCTCCAGGATTCTAATCAGGGACCATGTTATGACCTTTAGAAGAAGTTCCAAAGGGTTCATAGCTGACAATTAGAAAAAAAAAACCTTCCCATCTGATTTTGCCACTTCTTAACA